CTTTTCCAAATCGTATGCAGAAGTCTGTTCATCACAGCACTGCTGATAATCAGGAGGAAAAGCGGAAACAAGGTGCAGTCGTCTGTAACCCTGCTGCGGAGAGCCCTGAACGGCAGACGAGGTGTTGTTAGGGGAAAGTGGGTAATGAGTACAAATCTAACACAACTGCGATTTCTGAAATCCACTCACAAACTAGAGAGAGAGAGCAAGAGAGCAGAGGAAGTCAGCACCATCTCTGCATGAGCACAGTGCCCTGAGCAAACAGTCCACAAACAGCTCTGAGACAGAACTTGATGGCCGGGCGTGGTAGTGTACACCTGGAATGGTAGCACTTGGGAGGCTGAGGCAGGAAGATCGTTGTAAGTTCAGGGCCGGCCTGGGCTACACACAGTGGATTGAAGGCCAGCCTGGGTAAGAAGCGGGAAGTTGTATGTTTACACGAGAAGAGTGTATGTCTGTTGGCAAACTTAGCTTTGAACAAAAAACACGAAACAGATGAGACGGAGCACGCACACACATGGGTCGTTTCTGCAAGGTGCCGTTGCGGGTCTGTTTTCTTCTCTGCATTCCTCCGTCGTCTCCAAGAGCATAGGAAGGTGGTGGGGCGCAGTCTGGACAGGGACTGTGTGCAGCCCGCTGGGCGCCCGCTCTCAACCTTCAGAGCAGCCTCCATAGAAGCCCTGGCTGCGTCACTGGCTTGGGCGGCTCTTCTTCCGGACAAAGCCATTTACAGCTTAGGCTGCTCAGAATGTGACTCAAAACGCTGCAGTGAGGAGTCCAGGGCGCTCGATGCCCAGAAGGACAACAGCGAGGGACACAGGAACAGAGAGAAGCCAGGCCAGGGCTACGGCAAGCAGGAGGAGGGCTTCGGGTCCCAGCTCTGTCGGGACAAGCAGCAGAAGGGGCTGCCTCCCGGACGCTGCCTTCCGCCGCAGCTTCGGAGAGGCAGACCTGACTCCAGGTGTCTTCGTGTTTATTTGAAACAGAGGGCAGGAAAGGTAGAAGTGAGAAGAACCGAAATTGAAGGAAAAAACAAAACCCCAGCAATGTGGTCAGAGAGGACCAGGTCTTTGCCTGTCGGCTACCAGGATGTGCGGGGACCTTTCAGAGGGCGACTGGTCCCGGTCGATCGAAGTAAAAACACACAGCCCCTGGGCAGAAGGCTTGTGGTGCATCTCACAGCGGATGAGAAACAGCACCTGCCTAATCCGAAAATCTGAAATGGGAAATGCTCCAAAACTGGGAACTTCTCTGGGGCTGACAAAGCCACAGGCAGAAAATGCCACCCCTGACCTCACCCGACAGGCGACTGGCAAAGGTAGATGCACTAAGAACACTGCAGACTGCTACCTCCAGGCACGTACGTGGCAAAGTGCATACGGGGAAACTCAAGGGAACTTTGTATTCAGACTCTGGGCCCAGCCCCACATATTCCGCTGAGTGTACAGATACGCTACAATCACAAAGATCCACAGCCAAAATCACTTCTGGTCCCAAGTGCTTTAGAAAAGGGACCTCCCACCCATACCACTCAGCTGCTTACAAAGGCAGGAGGCAGAGGTGGCTTCGGGGTCTGGGAAGAGCTGGGGTGTGTGGAGAAACACCCCTCTTACAGGAATAAAACAGTCCATGAGTATGCATGATGTGTTTTCTTATCTTTTTCTTTTTCTTTTTGGAAGCAGAAGCTTGCTATATAGTTCTCGCTGGCCTTGACCTCCCTATGTAGCCCAGCTTGGCCTCAAACTCATGGCGATCCTTTTGCCTCAGCCTCCTGAGTGTTAGGATTACAGGTGTGCACCACCACACCCAGATACATAAAATGTTTTCAAAGAAACCAGTGATATAATTTCGTAGACAGCACCACCCCACACTTGGAGGAGGAAGCTTGCGACTATGAACATCTATACCCTCAGTGAGAAATTTTCAACCTCTAGTGGAGCTGGGGAAGCGGACAGGATTATCCTGGCTCCAGAGGGAAAGTCGCTCTCTCCACTCCATCTGAATTCGGGATGAACCTCTGGCTCTGGGTCCTGCACACTTACGGGGAACTTGGGATCCTCTAGCTGTCCTCAGAATAGAACTTTCTGGGAATAATACTTCCAAAAACACTGTCCTCTCTTCCAGAACACAGTGAATTTGGATAGTCCAGGCTGGGTCACAAAATAAGCAAGCAGACCTCCTCCCCCACACTCTGGTGCTGAGATGCAGTATGGAGACATTCCCTGCAACAGCTGATGTGGAAAAAATCAAAGACAATAAATGCCTACTCACTGCAGACTTCAAGTTACGCTGCTTCCGAGTGACAGCCAGGAAGAGTGCCCAGGCGTTCCAGTGGGGAAAGGAATCGTCTGCGGTCAGCCCCCATTCAGGACTTGCCAGGGCGGCACCGGTCACCTCCTCAGCCGGTCTGTACCCTGCCACACCGATCCTGTGTGTGGGTCGCCAGCGGGACCCCGCGGATTCGCACCATGGCACTTCTGCAGCCGGTCACAGGACACGGCAGCGTGCAGTTTCCTCCCTCTGGACTGTTCTCCCTGGGGGAGCCGGGCACCGCGTCTGCATCACTCAGGGATCACGCAGAGCCCGGGCGGGGACGGACCCAGCCTCCTGCGCAGAGCCCTGGGCCAGTGGACCCTCTGCTACCCTGCCGCTCCAGAGCAAGCGTGAGCGTGAAGTGGGGCGACTGGCCGGAAGTAAGGAGGACTCCAGTACGCCACACGGAATGGGCTTCAGGGAGCGCATACACAAGACGGCGGTCACTGTGGTCGCCTCCGGGAGGAGGAAGAGCACGGGGAACACGGGGAGCCGGTGCGGCGCACACGCTGTGCAGGGGTGTCTTGGGGCACACCTGTGTCACTCTGCGAGTCAAGGCGCAGCGCGTGTAGGAGGTGCCGGGATGTGAAGGGCGTGGCCGGGGGGCTCAACTCCCACGCACAGGAGCAGGGCACAGCGTCCTCAGCCGGGGCTGCTCAGCGCTGCAGAAACTCCCCACGTTGACGACCAAAGTGCGTGATGCACGACAGCTCGCCAGCCCCCAGAACGTCACCACCGCCCCCGGCACGCTCACACCTCGCTGCTCCATTCGCGCCTGCGGAACGCCGCAGAGGCTTGAGCACCAAAGTGTCCGTCTGGCTTCCTGCCAAGGCGGTGGCGGCTGCGTCAGGGACGCCAGACGGAACCGGGGCGCGCAGCCAGAAACAGCCCCAGCCACGAACGGGCCAGGAAAGAAATAGGAGGAAAGCCGGGCTTCACGCCCAGCCCGTCCTCAGCGGGGCTTCGGGTCCCCAGGAGGAGACCAGGCTCCAGACGGTGAACTGCTGACCGGCCTCAGCATTTGCCACTCGCTGGGAGCTCAGCTCTGCCGCGACAGCAGCCGACCTGCAGCTCCGCGTCAGGGGGACGCCAGCGCTCCGCTCCCCCTCCGCAGGACGGAGGCCGGGCCTGCACCCGCCACCGGGAGACGGCCGCAGCTTCACAGCCCACCTAGCGCTGAGCTCGGTCCTCCTTACTCACTGGCCCACGAGACCAGAGGTCTTGGTGTCGCCAATAGCGAACACATTGCTAACAGCCTCTCACACACGCTCATCCTATTTTGCAAAGAGCCCGATGTTTAGATTTGAAAACCAGACTTTGAACAAGCAGCACACGCTGCAGACACTCAGGCTCCTGCACCACACACAGCAAAACCAGCTCCCGTGTCCACCTGGTCTGGGCAGTTACATCTTACAAAACCACGCCATAGAAACACAAGCTGCCAGCGGAACGTGGTGGTGGACCCTGTCATCCCAGCACTCGGCAGGCTGATGAGCAGCAGGACCGCCTTGCATGCAGGACCAGCCTGGACTACAGAGGGAGACGCTGCCTCAGAAAAACAAAAAGGAAAAGAAAACCTCAGCGCTTGCTCACTGCCCCGCTCGTGGGCGGCTGAACGGGCACATGACAGCGTGATGCCGACGGACCGCACGCGCTGACAGACGGACAGACGGACTCTGCAGGGCAGGTGTTACCTTGCAGGAGGCGGCCGCTCCGGTGCAGATGCAGAGCCAGCGCCCCCTCGAAGTGCTGGGCCTCCAGGAGGTCTGCGACGTCCGCCGGGCTCGCGAAGTCGGACGCATCTCTCAGAACACAGCAGTGGCCTGCGGCCTCCAGGTGGCCCCTGCACCACAAACAGGAGGACAGGAGAGGTCGCGGTCAGTAAGGAGCCACACGGTGCTGCCACGACTACCATTTCACCCGGATTCCGCTCAGCGCGTTTCCCACTGAGCAGCCCTCCCTAGGAAGAAAGCGCGAGGTCCGGGAGGGTCGCCGCTCAGCCTCCCGTCGGGCTGGGACGCCGGGACTGAGCCAGGCCATGACAGCGGAGCGCAGGCTGACGCAGCTGTGACACCCCACCAGCAGAAGCCCCCCGTTTCCTGGGCCCCACTCTGCACATCCTTCCACCGGTCCTTCACTGTGGAAGGTGCCCCAGGCTTAACTTCAAACCTGCGTTACTCATTTCTTAAAAGGACTGCAGAAGTCACCTGTCACCAAGGCTTTGAATTGTGTCGTCTGGCCATTTCATTCTATGTTCCCCCCAGAAAAATCTCTTTTAAATATGTCTCTTTTTCTCCACTTTAGTCCAGCTTATGGTAATATATCTGTAAATCTAAAATACAAACTTGGTTGGCAAAAAGAAAGAATTATTCCCGTTTTTTTCCAGATAAAGTCTCAATATATAGTTCAGGTTGGCCTTGAACTTTCAGCAATTCTCCTGCTTCAGTCTCCAAAATACTGGGATTACAGGTACGTGCCACCACACTCAGCTAAAAAGAATCATTTTGAATGGCATCAATACCAGGAATAAATTTTTTTTAAAAAAGACGAGAAATTGGAGGAGGAACTACTCTCCACCCATACAAAGGGAAAAAAAAAGCTAACCTGCTTAATATATAAAGAGCTTTTATGAGTTGATAAGAAAAAACTAATACAACCCAACTGAAAAAAGTATAGATAAGAATAAAATTGCCATAAGAAATGCAATTGGGCTTTTTTTTTCAGTCTTTTTGAGACAGGGTCTCACTATGCAGTTCAGGCTGGCCTTGAGCTCACTTTGTAGCCCAGGCTGGTGATGAACTTGCTGCGATCCTCCTGCCTCAGCCTCCTAACTGCTGGGATTACAGGGGTACACCACCATACCCAGCTGCAATTGGGCTTTTATTTTTATTTATTTATTTATTTATTTATTTATTGCAATTAGGCTTTTAAAACAAAGGAAATTGTGCTCAACTTCAGCTACCTTTTAAAATAAAATATCCTTAAGTCAAAAAGTCTGCCTAAGAGCTGGGCGTGGTGGCGCACACCTATAATTCCAGCACTCAGGAGGCTGATGCAGGCGGATCGTTGCAAGTTCAAGACCAGCCTGGGCTACAAAGTGAGCTCAAGGCCAGCCTGAACTGCATAGTGAGACCCTGTCTCAGAGAAAAAAAAAAAAAGTCTGCCTAAGGTTTCATAAGTAAACTCTCACACACATTATTTATAAGACTGTAAATTAGTGTGAAGCCTTTGTGGTGGGCAAGACAGCAGCAACTAGCAAATTTAAGATGCACAAACTAATCCGGGTATAGTGGCACACATCTGTAATCCCAGAACTTGGGAGGCTGAGGCAGGAGAATCACTGAGAGTTCAAGGCCAGCTTGGGCTACAAAGTAAGTTCAAGGCCAGCCTGAACTACATAGCAAAGTATCTCAAAAAGGCAAAAATAAATAAATAAATAAATTAATTAATTAATTACATTGTTTTGAAAATGCACAAACTGACTAGGCATGGTAGTGCCTGCCCGTAACCCCAGCACCCTGGGAGGCTGAGCCAGGGGCATTTGAGTTTGAGCCCAACCTGGGAAACTTAGTGACTTAGCAAGACCCAGTCTTTAGATAAAAAAAATAAAGGCTGGAGAAGTAGCTTCGCGTAAGTGCCCTGGGTTAATGTCCAGTACCACAATAAATGCATACATACCTAAAATTAAAATTAAGTAACAAAATGCACCAACCCCCTCACCAAATAACCCCACAGGGGTTTAGTGCAGAGATATACATGGGTATGTGTGCAAGGGCACACACCCAGGGGCAGGGCCTGTGCCACTGGGTCTAGGAGAACAAGAGCAATAGCCAACTCAAGGTGCATCTGTAGGCACCAGCTGCACCCGTTCCATCCGGCTCTTCCACCACTAAAAGAGTGCAGCGGGTCACGGCGATGCCATACTCAGAATCGGCTCAGAGGTACACTGCTGAATGATGAGCAGAGCAATGCACTGGCAGGTCCACCTCGATACAATGTGCGCGCATAGAGTATTCGCGTAGATACAACGTGTGCACATTCGTACTGGTGTAGATACAATGTGCATCACAGGGTATTTGTGTAGATACAATGTGCGCGC